ATAAATGGGCAGTCACGTGAGGTTCACCAATAGACCTTTGCCCAAGTCGGAGAAATCAATGATAATGTTAAGGATAGCAGCAGAGAAGGGGACTTGTGGAACGCAGCGCATCAATATACTAATGACTGATTCTCCATCAACATTGTAATGTCATATAATTGGAAATAAGTTCTCAAACCTGTTTTTACGGTTTATTGGTTCCTGAAGAATTAGTCTAAAAAATAGTTTTTGCACGATTTCTTCATGAGTATGAAAAATCAGAAGATTGGTTCTTGACACGTTTAAACTACGCATTATTTTTCAACACGAAGGTCACGTTTCAATTCACTGATTGAAACCTTTCATTTTTATTTAACTTGCAGTGAGCGGAATCTTTTGTCATCGTCACTATGAATTGATTACTACATCATATCGTAATAGACAACCTCTATCATTTTATCTTCCTCAAAAAGTTTCTCAACTAACAATTTATCTATATAGGTAAATGGACCAGCTGCTATAATTTTAAAATATAAATAAATTCTAAAAAATTAGTTCACAAAATTATTATTTACACATAACTTTTTTTTGTGTGTATTTCGTTCCTCGGTTTTAAAGAGTCCGAGATATTCGCAACACCGATTATCCGCACTATGCGAAGTATAGCATCATTCCATTCGTATAATTCATGCCTCAAGGTTAAAGTAATTATTGATTTGTTGTTGGTAACACAATAATATAATTAAACTTTTATAGCATTAATAAATTATTTGCTTTTCTTTCTCGTCTATTCTTTATAAAATGTAAATAATTAACTATTCTGATTAATAAAGATAATCCTTAAAACTAATCTTGTTCAAAGAAAAAGCATATAAAATTAAATCTACACGTTTATGCATCGATGCGTCATTTACAGAATATATAAACTAATTAAGAGATTTAGTAGCGTAAGTATGCAAATGAAAGCTAAGACTGGATTAACAAATGATTTGACATCGTATCAAAAGTTAAGTGGTTGGCTTAATGAAACCGAACCTGCATATCCATGGAAATTGGACATCATCTGCCAGATTGCCGCTTGCTCGCTCGCTCACTCGCTCACTCGCTCTATAATCTCGCTCCATTCTATCTATATACGTATATTACGTCTCTATCAGCCACTATATATGAATGTGTATGTGTGTGACATAATCCAAATCATCAGGGCTTCCGTATTGATTTTACCCCGAAATATGAAATAATCCTGTCGGAAGTGGAGTGTTCAAATTTAGACACAGAATTAGCCTCCCTTCATTTCACCTCCCACATCCGCCGCTCATTTCACCCCCACCCCAGCTACTGTGTTATAATTACCGCAGAACGAGCCTCCGATTTTCCTCTTTTCAACGTACAAAAACGCGAACATTCCGCAGCGAAACAAAAGGCCAGCAAATACCACCTTCCATTCGGAATGACTGTGCATTTTTGTAATTTTATGTTTGTTTTATTATTTTTTATTATAATAAACGAAAAACGCCTTCAAGAGGAAAATCGAATGAAATTCTTTTTCGCATGATTTATCGTGAAGCTTAAAGTTGTGTTTTATTTTTTTGTGCAGAATATTCCGGAAAATGGTGCCAAGACAACGAAAAATAAAAGATTTAATTCAAATCGAGTTTTAATAATCTTGAGCACAGCTTTCCTTTCATTATTTTTATATATATATATATTTTTT